GGCAAATCACCACAAACTGGGCGACTCAGAACAACAGCAGTTTATTCCCTCGAGGCTAGAAGTCCAAAATCAAGGTGTTGGCAAGGCTGAGCTCCCTCTCAAGGCTCTGGGGAGGATCCTTCCTTGCCTCTTCCAGCCTCTGGTGGCTCCTGGTGTTCTTTGGCTCTTGGCCACATCACCCCAGTCTCTGCCTCCATGGTCACACTGCCTCCTCCGATTCTTCATGGATCTCCTCTGTGTCTGTTCTCTCTCTCCACTTCTCTCTTATGAGGACACTCCCGATGTCCCACCCAGAAGATCTAGGGTAGTCTCATCTCCAAATCCTTCATTACATCTGCAAAGATCCTTCTCCAAATAAAGTAACATTTTCAAATTCCAGGGATTCGAGCCTGAAATCCAGGGGTAGCGATCATCCAAACTATTACAAGATCTCTGAGATTCCCACCCCTCACCCCCAAAGAAGGGTGGAAATGGTCACGAAAAAAGAAAACCCAACACTGATCTGCATACACAGATACGGAAAGACTTCAAGCCCAGCTATTCAGTGAAAAAAGCAAAATTTATAGTAATAGATCTAGCGCAATCCTCTCGTTCATTCACTCAACAAATATTTTGAGCACCTACCAGCCCCATTCTAGGTTCTGAGAATTCGGCAGTGACCAAACCAGACAAATATCCCCTCATGGGGCAAGTATTTGAATAGTGAGACAACAAATAAGAAAAAATAAATAAATAAGAAAATACTAGGAAGTGGTAAGCGCCATGATAAAAATAATTCAGAATAATGTGAAAAATCCCCTGGGGTAAATTCTAAAATTACACGTGCATTTTTTTTTCTTCCTGCAAAAATACAGAGCTATTTCACTGTGGTTACTTTGCTGGAAGAGGCTGGAGCTGGAGGCTGGAAGAGGGAGACTTGTTTTTCATTTTATACCTTTCTGGAACTTCATTTTCTTAACGTTGAGTGTGTCACTTTTAGTATTTTTTATTTTTTTTAAAAAGATTTTATTTATTTGACAGAGAGAGCACAAGGGGGAGTGGCAGGCAGAGGAAGAGGGGGAAGCAGGCTCCCCATTGAGCAGGGAGCCCGATGTGGGGCTTGATCCCAGGACCCCGGGATCATGACCTGAGCCACCCAGGAGCCCCTTTAGTATTATTTTTTTAAAAAGATTTTATTTATTTTTTTTGACACAGCGAGAGAGGGAACACAAGCAAGGCGCCTGGGTGGCTCAGTAGTAGTATTTTTTAAAGTGGCAACCAAATGTAGCTGGGTAGAGAGATCTGGGCCACGTTTTGCTTTCTTCCCCCATCCTTTTTGGATTTCGCATTTCTTTTAAACACGTATAAAAGTGGGAGCTGTGATTATCGTTTGTTCTGGGGCGGCTGGAGAAGGCTCTCCGCTGCCAGAGATCTGAGTAATCTAAAATACCCACAGCGGAACTGCTCAGGGGTTGGCAATTTTTGTAAGAATGTTGAACATTTGAGGTTTTCATTTCGAGGATAATCCTCCCTGCCCCGCCCCCGCCCCACTCCCACACATAGACACACACACACACACACACACACACACCTTTTACCAATTGCAGAACACAAATACCTCATCGGCGAGGTCATTCCACTTGGAAGACTCGACTTTTCGGACTCGGATTCATAAACCAACATTCCTCACACGGGTAGCCTAGGGATTTTTAGTTTCCGGTAGCTTTTCAGGGAAGCTGAGTGGGGGGCTCAGGCCTAAAGAAGGGATAAGAAGCCCAGAGGAGGTGCCGCCCCCCACCCACTCCGGACCCTCCCCTCCCAGAGCGGACCCGCGCTAAAGCGCGTCTCCTCGTTGCCGTGGAGACCGCTGGGCGGCTGGAAACTGAGCACAAGGGAGGGGCGGGGCGGTGGGAGGCCAGGCGGGGGCTAAGCTCGCCGGCAGGGATGTAGCTTGGGAGAGGGAGGAGAAAATCCAGCAAAGCCTATCGACCCGGCTCTGCAAAGGCAAAAACAACCCGAACGAGCCAATAATTGTGCAAAGGCTTCGCTGAGATCTTCAACCCCACCCCCAAGCATCTTCCTTCCTTCCCTCTCTCCCTTTCCTTTCCTCTTTCTCTCCACATCTGCCTGGTTCTCTTAGAGTTAAATAAAATCCCACGTCGTGAGTTAAATAAAATTATACGTGTTCCTTTTTTTATACCTTGTATTAAAGTCATTATTATTTTACAGGGTTTTTTGTTGTTGTTAAATCTTTTCTCTTTTAACAGTTGTATATTTCATTCTAATTGGTTTCCTTTGTAATCCGATGGATGCGATTCTATGCACTGAAAAACTTTTGAGTAGGGCCCCATGGCACTAAGAAAGGGTTAAGCATTCCTGAGATAGAGGACTCTGGAGAGGGTAGAGGCCACTCCTATTGTTGGGGGGCGGGGTTGCAGAATGACCTCTCCAAAAAGGATGACATTTGGGCAGAGGGAGATTGCCAAGAGAAGGTGGGGCCATAACAATCTGGAGGTTGGGAACAGCAAGTGCAAAGGCCCTGAGGTGGAACTCAGCCTGGTGTCTGATGAATAGCGAAGAGGCGGGGGTGGCTGGAGTGGAGTCGGTGAGAAGGAGAGAAAGAGAGAAGGAAATGGAGGAGGTGTGCTAGGGCTTTGTGGCCCCCCGTGAGGACTTTGATTTTACTCTGAGTAAGATGGAGGATTTTTAAAAGAGTAGAGACAGATCTACGTTTTTAAAAGATTCCCTCCAGCTGCTGGGTTGGGGTCGACTGCAGGCAGTGAGGGGGAAACAGGGAGCTGTTTGCATGGATTCCCCCTTACCCGTAGCTCTGAGAATTCCTAACAACAGCGCCCCACCCCCACCCCGCGCACACAGCAGGGTGCCTGGTTCCAAGGAAACTCTCCCTGCAAGTTCACTGCTATTAGTACCAATGCCATTGTGGTGCATATTGTTGCTGAGCCAGCTGCTCAGAGTTACTGGGAAGCTTTGCATATCCTGGGCCCCACATCCCAGGGACCCTGACCCCCCTCTGTCCATGGCTGATTCTGAGGACCTTTGCTTTAATTTAACTTATTTAATTAACGTTTTTGACCACTAAAAATCCAAGCAATCCAAAAAGATATAGAAGGGGAAAGTACATGTCTCTGCCACCTCTGGGGCTCCCCAGTTTCCCTCCCCAGAGACAGCCACTGTCGGCAGTGTTCATACCCGAAATCAGTACACCAGCACGTCTAGACCTTTTGCCCGCCCCCCCACACACACACATACACACCCAAGTTGAACTGTTTCAGATTCAAGTCCAGGTTCCATCACTTATGGCAGTGGGACCTTGAGCAAGCGACTTTACATCCTCAGCTACAAAATGGGAATGATGGGGGTGGGGCGCTTGGGTGGCTCAGTGGGTTAAGCGACTGCCTTCGGCTCAGGTCATGATCTCAGGGTCCTGGGATCAGAGCCCCTGCATTGGGCTCTCTGCTCAGCGGGGAGTCCCTCTGTGCTCTTCCTCTCTCGCGCTTGCTCTATCTCAAGTAAATAAATAAAATCTTAAAAAAAAAATAAAATGGGAATGATCATCAATCCTATTACCCGCATCATAATGTTACAGGGAGGATTTCGTGGAGTTGATCCACAGAAAGCTCTAGCAAATGCCCCATAAAACCTGACTATCCTTTTTACTAGGTGCTTCTTTGTACATAGCTGCATAGTATTTCAGTGTGAGAATCGTACAGCGGAGCCAGTCCCTTCTGATGAACACCACTTGGGTTCATTCATTCACCCCCAAAGTATTTACTGAGCACCTACAGTGTGCCACGCCCCGCGCTAGAGGCTGGGGCAGTAAGATCCTGGTACCAATTTCTCCACCGACCTGTATGCTTAAACAGGTAGGAACGGCTGGTACCCAAAGTCATATGATGTGGAAGCCGAACAGTACAGTACCAGCGGCTTGCCAAAGCCCGGCCGCATTAGCACACCCACGGGTCTCCAGGGTTTGGCTGGAACCCGCGCGTTTAGTTGGGCAGGTTGGGGAACTGCCGCGTTTCCCGGGGAAGGTGCTGACGTGGGCCGCGGCGGGGCGTTCTGCTTGGAAGCGGTGGCCCCAGGGAGGCCCGGACGGCGGCCACACCCCTGTGGGGGAGGGGAGGGAGGGCGCCCCGAAGGGAGTGGACAGCCCCCCTGTCAGTCTTCCCGAGTCGGGGAGTGTAAGATGAGAAGGGGGAAGGTGGGCCTCACCCTAGGGGAGAGCGAGGAGGAACTTCCTGCCCGCGCGCGCTCCTCCGCGCCGAGTGCACGGGCTGGGAGGCTGCAGGCGCGTCAAGGTCAGCCTGGACGGGGGTGGCCGCCTGCCTGGGGGCGGGAGACCCTGGGGGAGGGGGGCTGGGCTGCGGCCTCCAAGCGCCTCGGCCATATTGAATAGCCACGGTTGAGTCGTCTTTGTGTGCGCAGGCCTCTCCCAAGCTGCAGGCGCGTCCCTGAGGCAGGAAGAGCCACGGGGGCAGCCCGTGCGCCCCAACTTGGAGCCCGGACCCCACGTCTGCAGCTGGCGGTGGGCTTCGAGCCTCAGGACTGACCTCACCCCGGCTCACGTAAGCATCCTGGGAACTGATTCCCTCCAGTCCTTGGGGCGGGGGAGCCGGACTTGGTCAAGACTGGACTTTGTGGCGGGCAGAGAAGTTGGGAGGGGTTGGCTCATCCTTGGCTGGAGAGGTGAGACCCTCCGGGCAGTTCTGCGGGGACCCCTCCCGCCCTCATCCCCTAAGACTCAGGCCTACGTGTAGTTTGGGGTCGTTGCCCCCACCCCCGATTTCACCCTGGAGATCTTAAAGACCCTCGAGAAAAGCCACGTGGGGGGCTGGTTCCCCTGGGGCTTCCTCCCATCCCCCGACTGCCTGATCCTCTGGAGCGTCCCTGATGTCTGCAAAGATGTGGATTTGGACGTCCTCGTGGAAGCCTTGAAGCCCGTGGGGACCTTCAAGAAGATTGGCAAGGTGTTCCGCAGGGAGGAGGACTCCACGGTGGGGATGCTGCAGATCGGGGAGGACGTGGACTATCTGCTCATCCCCCGGGAGGTCAGGCTGGCGGGAGGCGTGTGGAGGGTCATCTCCAAGCCTGCCACCAAGGAGGCGGAATTTCGCGAGCGGCTGACCCAGTTTCTGGAGGAAGAAGGCCGCACACTGGAGGACGTGGCCCGCATCATTGAGAAGAGCACCCCACACCCGCCCCAGCCCCCCAAAAAGCCCAAGGAGCCCCAGGTGAGGAGGAGAGTCCAGCAGATGGTGACCCCTCCCCCGCGGCTGGTCGTGGGCACCTATGACAGCAGCAACGCCAGCGACAGCGAGTTCAGTGACTTCGAGACCTCCAGAGACAAGGGTGACAAGGGTCACAAAGGCGCGGGGCGCAGCAGGAAGGTGCGCAAAATGCCAGTCAGTTACCTGGGCAGCAAATTTCTGGGGAGCGACCTGGAGAGCGAGGACGATGAAGAGCTGGTGGAGGCCTTCCTGCAGCGAGGGGAGAAGAAGCCCAGCGCGCCACCTGCCCGCCGCCGCGTGAACCTGCCCGTGCCCATGTTTGAGGACAACCCCAGGCCGCAGCTGTCCAAGGCGGACAGGTGGCGAGAGTATGTCAGCCAGGTGTCCTGGGGCAAGCTGAAGCGGAGGGTGAAGGGTTGGGCGCCCAGGTCCAGCCCCGAGGGGAGCGAGGCCCAGCAGGCCTCTCCCAGGCTAGAGAGAGTTGGGGCATCAGGGCCGGGCAGAGCCAGCCGGGGGCATAATGTGGGCAACACAGAAGATGGGCAGGGGCCCGAGACACCCCCAAGACGATGGAAGCCCAAAATCAAATGGGCCTCTTTTCGCCGCCGCAGGAGGGAGGAAGCAGCATCCACAGATCAGGGGACAAGGGCTGCAGGTGATCAGAGGGCAGAGGCTGCAGATGATCAGAGGGTAGAGGCTGTAGATGATCAGAGAGCTGAGGCTGCAGATGATCAGAGGGCAGAGGCTGCAGATGATCAGGGGGCTGAGGCTGCAGATGATCAGGGGGCTGAGGCTGCAGATGATCAGGGAGCTGAGGCTGCAGATGATCAGGGAGCTGAGGCTGCAGATAATCAGAGGGTAGAGGCTATAGATAATCAGAGGGCAGAGGCCATACCTGTCCAGGGGGCAGAGGTTGAGGATAATCCAGGGGCAGAAGCCATAGCTGTCCAGAGGGCAGAAGCTGCAAATAATCAGAGGGAAGGGGCTGCAGATAATCAAAGGGCAGAGGCCCCAGTTGTCCAGGAGGCAGAGGCTGCATCTGATGGGGCAGAAGCCATAGCTGACCAGAGGGCAGAAGCTGTACAGAACCAAAGGGCAGAAGCCCCAGCTGCCCGGGGGGCCATAGGGACAACCCAAGGAGCTAAGGCCCGGAAACAAGTCAAGACAGTGAGGTTCCAGACCCCTGGACGTTTTTCGTGGTTTCGCAAGCACCGGAGAGCCTTCTGGCACACTCCTCGGTTGCCAACCCTGCCCAAGAGAGTCCCCAGGGCAGGCGAGGCCAGGAGCCTTAGGGTGTTGAGGGCAGAGGCCAGAGCAGAAGCAGAGCAGGGAGAACGAGAAGACCAGCTGTGAGGTGAGGGCAGGGGCTCCCTGGAGCTCACTGCCACCTGCCATGCTGTCACCACCCAGGGCGCGGCCTCCCCCTCCCGAGCTGGGATGGAGATGCCCTTCCTGTGGCCATACTTGAAAATGGAGCTGGACAAGCGCCGGGCAGCGGGCCTCCCATCTCCACCCAACACCCCTCTCTGTCTTGTTAAAAGTTTATCTTTCATGCATTGATTTTTTTTAAAAACAGACTCTTTCTAGTCACCCAAGGAACGTAAAGAAAGCCGTACAAAGGGGTTGCATCACTCATGATTTTAACTTCTCCAGTGCAACTCTAGGTGCTCAGCTTGAAGGGGGGGGAAGTGGTGGAGAAATTCTCTCCCCTCCCCTCTCCCTTTCTCTTCTTTTCTACTGCCCACTTAACATTGGCTGCCTCCTTGAACTTAAAAAAAAGGGCGCAAGCCAACATGCAAATAAAAATGTTTACCACAAGATTTTCTGCCTTTGGATTGGGTAAGTGACAATGCTCCAGGGTTATGTCGTCACTCCCTTGTGTTGCCTCTGCTCCTACCCTCCAGGATGGTGCCCTGTGTTTATGTCACTTTGCTTGCCATCCCCGTACCCCTGGCTCCTCCTGGCCCAGGGCCCGCACGTTACATACTTCCCCCGACCTTTGTTACATGGGACAGAAGAATCATCTGGGAACACATCCAAAATTCAGATTCTGGGGCTCTTCATGCCAGAGCTGTGAATTTGCTCCAGCTGCCTGTGTGGCCCAGGAATCTGTTTCGATCAAGCCCCCCAAAACATCTCCTGGGGCAGATTGGCCACTGGGCGCATTGAAAACTCTTTGCAATAGAGACAGGCCAAAAAGCCCGATCTGGGTGATGATGTGTAGTGAGCTGTGACTGGCACTTATGATCGGGGACAGATAGGGTTGTTAAGGCCCCGTGGGCACTGGGGGACCTCTCTCTGTATTATCTTGTGTCCTCCAAACCCCGACCCCACCCACCAAAAACAGCATATGACCACACTCCAGCCTCGCTGAGGGCGGGAGGAAAGAGAAATCATGGAGGAAGGAGACCTGGAGGCCAGCTCTGTCTTGGCAGGGCTGCAGGCCTGGCCTGGGTTTTTTCTTAGTTTTTGCTTCTAGAACTAAAGAATCACCTGCTCTCACCTGCTCCTGTTCTGGAAGTAGTAGCTGCTGGTGCTCCTTTCATAGGATGCTAAGAGTCCCTTTGCACGTGGTACAGTTCACAGTCCCTAGCCCAGCAAGGAAAAGCCCTAAGGGAGTTTGGAAGAAAGACAGGGTGTGGACCCCACCTGCAGGGATGGACTGTGCTGGGGGCCAGGGAATAACTAGGCTGGATGGGGCCATCTCTGGAGTGCCCAGTGCATGCTCTGGATGCCAGGTTGGTGGTACCAATGGGGGCTGTCTCCATCTGGGAGAACTGCAGCCACATGCCGACGAGGGTTTGGAGTCCTGGAAGGGGAAAGAAGGTGGGAGTAGAGATGGTGAGAGACACCAGGAGGAGACTCCCAGATTTGGGGCCAATCCATCCCTCCCGCAGATTCTCCGTTTGTCCCTCCCATCCCCAGCAATCCAGGCATGAGCATCCAGGGAGGCCCAGGAGGCAGAGACCCCTTGGGTTCTCTGAAATTGTATCAGAGCTTTCATGTTACTTTTAATCTAAGGGGATTTCATTTATCACCTGAAGGGCCCAGTCCCCAAACGCAGCCCATGGATGCTTCCAGGGTTATGGTTTCAAACATGCCAGGATTTCCATGGGGGGAAGCACCAGAAAATAGGACACCCTAAATGTGGACACTCCTAAATATCCTCAAAGAGAAAAACAATGGAACACATCCATAGAGGTGCCACCTTGCGACACCAGGGACTTTCTGAGTCCCCCATGCTGGTGTGCCTTGGCAGGAGGAAACCACAAAGGGGCAGGGTAGGGAGGGATTTGGAGCCTGGCTCACCCCTAGCACCGCCCCTTACAAGCTTTGTTACCTTCCCGCTGGTTACCTTGTGCCTCTTTGTGCCTCTACTTACTCATCTTAAAGGGGGATCCCAAGATTTGCGGAGACAATGGAAGAAGACGTAATGTGTTGGAGTTCAAATCAACCCCAACAGACCTCATCTCCCATCGTCCTATTCCCGTTCTACATGAGAGACAGCCAGAACTTCACGAGACATCTCAGCCCTGATGAGGGCCCCTGGGACAGGGGTTGCCAATCCTGGCTGGTGTGTGGAATGACCCGGGAGCTTTCCAACACCCCTGCCCAGGCTGCACGCTCAGAGATTCTCGTGCAAGTGGTGCAGGGTGTGGCTGGGGCTCCCAGAGCCCCGAGGCTTGCTGGGTGATTCCAACGCGCACCCGGGACCGACAACTGCTACCCCAGGGCTCCAGGAGATAATCAGACCCCACAGCAGACCCCTCTCAAGCTGGTGGTGCAGCAGAATCCATCGGACGGTCTTCTAACACACGGACTGCCGGATCCCAACCCCAAGGGATTCCCTAGGTGTGGGGTGGGCTCAAGAATATGCTTTTCTATCAAGCTCCAGGTGATGCTAATGCTGCTGATCCCAGGACCCCACACGAAGGACCGCTGTCCTCCAGCAACGTCCACTTTCCGCAGCCTGACGTTCAGAGGTGGAGCTTTGGGCCTGGAAGGCCCTGGGCCAGAGCGTGCAGCATCCTGCGCCCTCGGCGGGAGCCTTCGCGGGCGCGCCTTTAACGAGCGGTCCTGCGGCGCCCCCTGGTGGGGACCGCGGGGGCCGCAGTTGGTGCGGGCTTTCTCCGCTCTCGCGGGTGGTGGGTGGTGGGTGGTGGGGAGCCGGCGGCGTCAGCTGGTCCTGGAGCCCTCGATCTTCCCTCTAGAAGTTCTGGGACCCGACCCCATTCGCAGGAGTCCCGGGACTCGACCGGGCCGAGGGGCCGGGACGGGACAGGCTGGGCCCGGGAGTGCGGGGCGAGCTCGCGTAGGGGACGGGGTTGGGGGGCACCGCGGCCACAGGCTCTGCAACCGTAAGCGGTTATGCGAGGGAGCCCCGGAGGAGGACAAACCCCAGTTCGAGCTCCCTTCCCCGCCTCCAGAGCCCCACTTTCCTCATCTGGGAAATGGGAGTGAAAACCTGCCTTCCTCCTATTCCCCCAGCCCTACTCTATGCACGGAATCAAAGTCTTGACACATACAACCCAACCGTAATCTCGTCACCCCACAGACGCCCACAGGGAGCTGGCACTGGAGGGGTCCGCGATCACCCGTGAACGACCCCTCGGGTCACGGGCCTGAGCCGTTCCGCGGCCTGAACGCGCCCCCCCTCGGGCACCGGCCTGCCCCAGCCCTCCCCTCTTCGGGTCTTCGCTCAAAGGTCACCTTCTCCGTGACGGCGTCCCCGCGCCACCCGAAATGGGCGACGCTGGCAAACCCTGCCCCGCCGACGGCTCGCCCTGCCGCCTCCCCGGGTCGCGCCGTAGCGCGCGCGGCTCCAGAAGCGTCTTAGTGTGCCGGCCCCACGGCGCCCCGCGAGGGTCCGCGTTTGTGGGTGTCGCTCCGGCCGCCGCGCCAGCGCCGAGCGAGCCCCGAGCCTGGCTCCGTGTCCCCGCGGCCCGCACCGTCCGTCCCGCCTCCGCCCGGGCGCCGCCTCCTCCCGCCGCCGGGCCCGCGGGCGCTCGGCTCGGTGTCCTCGGGGCTGCGCGCCACCGTGCGCGGGCAGCGTGCTGGCGCCGGGGACGCGGCGGGGGACAGGGCGACCCCGGCCCGGGTCCCGGGGGCGGCGCCTGAGCGCTCCCGCGGCCCCTCGCCCCACGGTCGCCCAGCCCCGGCTCCGGGCCCGACGCTCGGCCTCAGCCACCGTGCCGATTCCTCTGCCCGCCGCGCGGCGGCCGTCGGAAAGCCGGGGCCGGGGGACGCTCTCCGGAAGCTGCTCGGCCTGCGGTGTTGGCGGCGGGGACGTGGCCCAGGGGCGCCTGGGTCCCTGGTCGGGGAACGCGGCTGCTTGGTGGATCCTCTTCAGCGCAGCGACCCGGGCTCTGGGCCGCAGCGGCGCTTCCCGGGGCCGGAGCAGCTTGCTGCACTCCTCATCTTGGGGCAACCTGACCTTCCCTTCTGCGCTTTGACCTGCAGTACCCGTGTCCTCAGCGGGGCGTCTGGAAACAAATTAGTGTGGCAGGCGACAATCCATCAGAGCTTGGACAAGTGGGCGTGTGGGGGAAGGGTTACATTTAGATAGGGTGGTCAGGGAAGCCCTCCCTGGGAATGGCACAGTTGCACAAAGACTGGGATGAAGTGGAGGGTGGAGCTATGCAAATATCCTGGGGAAGGGCGGGCACTCCGGGCCAGGGGGGACCGCAAGTGCAAAGGCCCTGAGGCAGGAATGGGCTCCGAGTGCTCCCTGAACAGCAAGGAGATCTGAGTGCCTGAAGGCGCGGGAGAGTGATGGGCAGTGAGGCAGAGAAAATGCGGACAGAGGAACCACTCCGGTGCCGTCCCAGAGAACTTTCTGTGATGGTGGAAATGTCCTATACTTGCGCCGGAATGGTAGCCAGAGGGTCCATGCGACTCTGGAGCATGTATAAGGCGGCTGGTATGGCTGAGGAAAAGGATATTCCATCTTATTTAATTTTATTTAAATTTAATGTCCCTTGTGACCAGAGATTACTCTATTGGACAGAGCAGGTCTAGACCACTATAGTAACTTCAGTTTAACCTGTGGGGCAAAGGAAGACTTTGAAGGGTTTGGGGAAGAGAGTGAGGGAATCAAACAGCCGACTGAGTTCCAAAAGGGCCCCTCTAGCAATGCTGTAGCCATGTACCGGGGAGGAGCCGGGGGGGAAGCTGGATCCCAGTAAAGGCAGATATGGGACCCCCTTAGTCTGGGTCGATGGCAAACCTTAGGCCCAGGGGCCAGGGGCCAGGCCTCATGGTGAAGTGTGGGAGTGGGGTGCTGACTACGGAGGGCTACAGGCCAGAGAGTGAGGTGAAGGGTCCACATGGGCACCAGGTGAAGTGGGGCAGAGACGAACCTGGGGGCTAGGGAGTAGAGCAGGCCCAGGGACCGGATGAGGTGCAGGGGGATTAGGGTAGGAACCAGATTTAGGGGTGATGGCTGGGCCCCAGAAAGTGCAGCCGGATGGGCCAAGAAAGGGCATTCTAAAGATTATGGAGTGCTGGGGCCTCGCAAGATACAATAAAGCAACAGACGGCTCAGACTAGAGTGGGAGGAGGAAGCCAGAGGTGGGGGCAGCCAGAAGCTAAAGCAAGGCAGAATTTGTACGGCTGCAGACAAGTCAGGGGGCTGCGCCAGGGGGACAGCCACTGAACACGCAAGGGACGCTGGGTATAAATCAGTGACAGGACAGTCCCAGGTGTTCTGGCTGGACTTCAGTTATGGGAGGTGGGGCAGCCCCTGCCCCATGGTCCAGAGCACAGAG